AATAAAAAAAANAAAAAAAAAAACTTGTGGCTCTCTGTTATGCATTTAACGAATTCCCAGGAAAGGGGCCACTATATGGAACATACCCTCACTTTGAAAAGCTTTCGTTAACCCACAGCCACAAGCAAGATTCCTAACAATAGATTGGAATCCGAAGAATAAAATGCAAAATCGATGTTCAAAGGATTTCAAGGAATTTCGTCCGTCAACATCCAAATGAAACTAAACAATCATTGAGGTCGGCTATTGCTCTCACTAATTCTAATTGTTAGTTTTCAGTGTTGTTTGACCGTTTTTCTAGTGTTTAATCAATCTGCTTAGTTACAATAGTTAGTATATATCCCAATCTTCCCTAACTAACATAGAACTGAATTAGTCGGATGCTTGTAGAAAACAAAAGTGATTAGACCACCAGTAATCCTTGTATTACTATTCACTTTGAAATTTTGTTATTCAGTTTGGAATATTATGTAAGATATCATGTCCAAAGAAGATAATAAACTCTTGTGAAAAAAAAAAGAAATACATTTCGTAACAACTTTTCGTAACCGGCAAAGAGTCAATGCAACCCGCAATATAGCAATCCGATCTACATGTGTGACAGTTGCTTCATCAACAATTGGCACCACTACTTTGAGATCCGTAAAGATATCCGCTTCTTTGCCACGCCGATCACGTGCAGCAAACCTAGACGATTCACGACGTCTGTCAAGAGTTCTAAAAAATTAAAATTTTCAGACCACAAAATAAGTGCAAGAAAAAAAACTTTCCTCATAAATCCTTAAAAAATTAATTTCAATTCAAAAGATTTCAAAAAAAATGCAACACTAGCATAGTTTCAAGTGAAATCAAGCTTGGAAGCTTGTAATTTACCGAATAATACCATTAGTATCATTAATTTTGCAAAGAATGAATAAAACTTATTCAACACAACTTATTTCTTTATGTGAATTATTTCATTAATATAGAATTCATTATCTAATTATTGAAGATACAATATTTTACATATACACGGGCATTCTATTTCATAATCCTGCTAAAAGAAAATAAAAAACTTGCCAATATCTTGAAACGCTACCAAAAAAAAAACGATTTTGAAAAATTACAAAATGCATGAAAATTTCTAAAATATGTCCGAAAATAACTAACTTACCAACAATATACAGGAGACTACTAACAAACAAAAATTTGTGCACCTAAAGGATTAAGTAAAAATTGCATTTTTAAACAAATATTACTTTGCAGTGAACATTTCTATTTTATTGATGTGAAACTGAAATATGTTTCTGAAAATTTTGAATATTTATTGTAAAGTAATCAAAAAAAAAAAATCAACGAAGAAGCTACATCGTTAACAAGTCAGTTTTTCGTCATCTATCAAAGGACATCAAAATTTTCGTTCACCCACAGTGAAGTATTGCAATTAATACGAGAGGAACAGACAGTTTATGGAATCATCAATTTAGCTTTTAGTATGCAAAAATGAAGATTAGAAGTGATATAGAAAGGAAAAGACAGAGTGATAGGGAGGAAGAACAGAGAAGAAATTGTAAGTAACTAATAAAATACTAACAATATTGGAAACTATTAAAAGTTGCAATTTTCCCGTACATAAACAAATTTAAATTTATTTTTTCTTTTTTTTTAGAGCGAAAAAGCAACAAATGACTCATCTGACAATTGCAATAATACTTGACAGAATAAAGTTTAAAGAAGAAGATAAAGAGCCCGTAAAAAAATTAGCAGACTAACATGAATGACGTATTAATTGGAATTATTTGAGAGTTGAAAACGTGCAAAAATAAAGAAAGAAATATTATTTTTGAAAGGTTACGGCCCTGATATCAGGACATCAACTATTGCGACAGGTACGATAATCATAAACATGCCGATAGTGCAAAATCGATCATCTTTTGATAACATGCCGTATAGCTTGAGGTGATGTTAAGTGTACTTTGACATTGTAATATGCCATTTCACACGTTTCGAAGCAACAAAAGCAGCAATTTCCTCATTAATTTTTACCCAGTAAGGCAGATGATGGATGATTTATAGAAGTATCAGTGAAAAAAAGAAAGTGAGAAGACCGAAAAGTGAAATTCGTGTTGAATTTATATCAGTTATTTCATTTTACTTTATCTTTCTTTCCCTCTCTTTCTTTTTTTGTTAGAAACGTTATCCATTCAATGATTATATAAAGGAAGGGAAAAATTAGATAGCTTTTTAACAAAGAAAGAAAAATCCTTAAATCACTTACTGTTTTCGACTGAATTCCGTAAAAAACTCTGCATCATGTCCGCTCATCATTTAGAATATTTGTATCAATAGGATCAAATAAATAAATAAATAAATGTTTCGTTGATTTTAGCTACCAAATATCACCAAGATGAAAAAATAATACTGATAAATATCAAATAGAATAGAGATACAATTTACATCTGAAAAATACAAATCATATAATAATAATTAAATAAAGCATTTTATTCTAAAATCCAAACGCTACGGTGAAAGCTCTTAATAGTAACAAAACTTTAAAATCTACTTGTCTGAGAAAAAAAAAAACCAGTCTGCTTATGAATTTTGAAAATGACTCAAGATTAAAGGTATTTCGTATTATGAAATTGAAATCGCGTTAAGATGAAATATTAAATAGATAAAATTTCTACATAACGACTGCAATGATACCTACAGGAATTTCATGCTTAGTAATATTCTTCTTGTATGAAAACAACATTAAGCTATAAATACACGTATTCATATTTAATTAGTAAATAATGCTACCAATGGAAGCTAACATCTGATATTAAAACTTTTTGATATAGAAAAGAAAAGGAAAAATCCATCGGTTTGATTTTGAAAAAAAGAGTTTTAAATAAGTCACAAAGATCATCCTATTCGATAGCAGAAGAGATTTGACACTCGAATGAACAGTTGACCCTCTTCATTTCATTCTTCCTTCTTCCATTCATTTTTTTTTTATTTCATAAGATATCAGCAAAATAAAATTATTTAAATTTAAATTGCAGAATAAATCATCCACCATAATCAGGATATTTTACAAGAAACAGGATAATTATTTTTCATAGATAATGCTGCTAGGATTAACTAATATTAATAATGCATTTCCCTGCGAATATTTTCCCCCTCATCTTCCATACTCCTACTGTATATCATCATTAAACTATTTTACTTGTCCCTATCAGCTTACAGATCGCATAATTAATTTTACAATCATTTTTTTTTCACCCTTAATTATTTCATTTATTCTACTATATAGCAAAACTCATGACCCTTACATTAGCCAGAAACCAGTTTTAACCTTTCCCCTTTTCTCTTCAAACTATCAATTCTCAGATGTTTCACTCTTCTGCCCATCATTTCGGATACGAAAACGTAACTTCCCACCCGTACATCAGTATCTCTAAAAATGACACAATGAGGTTTAACGGTAGCACCCCCTACTCCTTAGCAGTTTACTTTCAAATGCCGTTCACATGAAGGAAGTCTTAACACTAACTGGCAGCATTATCGACCAGTTCAATAATATTATGCCTACCGTAATATTCCATTAATAATCTTATCCAACAATCACAATCATCACGTCAACATATTTCTAAACAATTTCACATTTCATTTATTTTTCAACAATTTACAAATTCAAATTATTATTGATTGATGAAATCTGAATTACTTTGCAATAACACTCAATCAATCGGGAAAAAAAAAAATTATTCCAACCTTCGACTAACACATTGCATAAAATAATTCTATCATTTAAAATAACAGATTGGATTGTATAAAAAAATTTTATTTTGCTGATAAAATCACTTATCAGTGTCATTTGCCTTCTAAGAAGCATTTTTTTTTTCCATTATTTGTCACTTCTTACTCTTTTATTTTATCATCTGCTTTATTATTAGTGAATTTTTAGCAATGACTATTAGTAAATTTCTAGCTTTGCAACATATAATTAATTACATCATCTCTTATGGCAAATTATAAGCACAGATAAGTTTAATCTCATCTTTCTTTTATGATCGATCAGTTTAAATAAAAAGAAAAATATTCATTTAAGTGGAAGAATAAATGAATTAAATAAATATCTCCTACTTTATTTTCTACCAATTTTAGTAAAAGTTTCTACTCTTTGTAAACTAGATGATACTGTGCTAATATGTCGAATTCTACCTCTATTAATTAATTCGACAAATTGTCTAATTACTTCAACCATTCGCATTTACATGACGTGAGAGTAAATAAAACTTTCGGTTATGATACAAAACTAGAGAATGTACTCGTTTTCATTTTTCAATTCAATTTATTTGTCATAAACTTGTCATCCTTTCATCTTAATCATCAAATACCTATTTATCGGTTACATTCTTCCTGGCACTAACTCATCCCTTATCTTCCTATCATATATTATTCAACCAGAACTTCAAACAAATCCTTCCTTATGTTTCTTATCTTTCGGTAAAAATTTATAAAAACATACCAATTTTAAGTAAAGCTAAATTTAAAGTTAGTCATTATTCGTTTCTAAACATTCATTACGAAGATTTGAATTCGTTATAAAGTTATTCATAAAATACTAATTTTATATCCCTTCTCTTTTCAACTGCTAATGTTATCATTTCTGCTAAATTATCATGATTATTATGTTATCATGAAATTAATATTAAGAAGCATATATACTTCTAATATTTTAATTACACCATTGAAGAATAAAAAGAGCCATAACAATTAAACCTAATTATTCTAATTGAGAGAAATAAATAGACAATTTATCAAGCATATATTACACACTCTCATTTCCAGTATAACAATTCAAGTGAAAAAAAAAGAGAAAAAAACAAAACAAAAGAAAAATTCTACTAAAACAATCAATAAATTAGTTCTTTTACTAACCTGAATAATATTTAAATTACATCTAATAGAATCCTAATTAAATTCTAGACATTTAAACGAGAAAAGGAAAATAAATCTGATTGAAAATGCACAAAACTCGAAAATCCGCCTTTTAAATCGTATGATTTCACTATTTGTTAACCACAATCAATCGCATTTTGCATCCAAACCTGCTGATAATAAAATGTGTGCGTTGTTGTACTTTGATAACTTACTTATAAAGGTTAATTATGATGAAGTTATTTTCGCTACTCACAATTCTCTAAAGATCTCCACAGATTTTCTAATACCAGTTAACTCTAACTGCCTTTCACACTCCTCATAACCTTTTCTTCCTTTCATTTCATTCCTTCATCTATAATTAATTAATTCTTTTTGTTTTTTGCAATCATTCACAACGAATTACTGCTAACGGGCTAACGCACTTTCCCGTAAAATCTTATCAATCTTTGTCACACTTCATGCAACTTTGCTATTTCATTTGTTTTTCACACTCTAACTTACAATCTTCATTAAAACTCGTTCTATTTCCATATTTGTTTTATAAATTTAATGAAACTTTATCAATTTCATCAATTATTTCAGTGGAATGGAAGAGAAACTTCGAGCAAATTCAATATCCATCTAACGTATATTTATCAAAATAATGAAATATCTAACCTAAACACTGTCAACCTTGTCCTCACATTAATTCCCGTATTGTCAATCTATCTATACCCTCTTACTTTATTTTCATCTCATCTCTTTATCCTACTCTTATATTACCCCATAAATTCATCTTATCTTTACTTTACCCGAACATTTACTCATATAAAAAGTATTTCCTACTAACAAATAACAGTAATCGATCATCGGCTTAAAATACTTGTCAGGCTATTGTAGCCACAAATATGGCGCTCTTGACATATCGTAATAAGAGTATTTATTGTTCCTCCTTTTCATTTGACTGGGCGAAAAGTATTCTGAAGTGTACTAATAGGCTAGTATTGAGGGATACCAGTAATTCAGGATGAAGATTTGATTTGAGGATTACTGGAAGTGCGCTATGGAACGAGTGCATATTATAAAAGAATCCACAATTGAAGACAGCATGCTGTTTGTTGCTTGACTG